AATAACATATGTCTCTGTTGTAATATGCAAAACAGAGCGCAATAAATTTGTCGGTATAAATTGAAGAATACTTAAAATGCGATCGATAACTTCACCGTAATCTTGACCTTTTTCGATTTGATAAAGTATACGTAAACGACGTAACCATAACTCAAGGTTTGTTGTAGTAAATGGCACACGTTTATCATGTTCATCGTAGAAATAAGGTAGACGAGTTTGATCGAGAAAGAGAATGTAACGTGAGTGTGAATTCGATGAATGATTCGTTTTTTCTGATGATTTTAAATAGCTTGAAGTAGATTTCGTGAAAGTACGACGAATACTCGATGTCGATCGATGAATTGTCTGATTCGGTTCCTCATCCGGACATTGAAGTGAATCGTTCGGATGAAATTGCTTCGATTTTAGTGATTTCTGAAACGAAAGAAGATTTGAAATTGTGTTCAAATTTCGATGCCAATTACTTGTTCAAGCTTTTCTTCCATTGGTAATAAAACGAATTTGTAATTCTCAAGTTGTTGCAACAAAATCTCTTTACACGGTCGCTTCAGATGTTCAATCATATATTCATCAGCTAATACAAGAAAATTTTCGAGATTCTCATCCGTAATATCTGTATGAAATTGCGGATAAATATATTTTAGCAAAGCCAATATACTTTCGCTTGTTTTGCCTTGTAAAACAATTTCTTGAGCATGATGTTCTTGAAATTCTCCATCGAACATGCGAGTAAATACTGGTGAAACTAATGACAGTAATAGTCGATGACAATAGAATCGTTCTTTCTCAACGACTAGAACAATATCTGCTTTGGTATTGAACGTTTTCGATGCATCGGTGAAATAATTGAATGGAGAAATCATTGTATGAATGTCGTCGTACGAAAATCAACTCGACGAGTACAAATTCAACATGATGAGAGATTGCTGTGCGCTACTTCACATACGCATGTGTTGCGGTTTCTTTTCACTCGATGGATGAAAATGATTGAAGTAGACAGAACGATTTTGACGAGAGGAATTTCTGTTTATGGCATAGGAGTTAAGAACAAGAGAAAAAAAGTCAATTTCGATAAGGATGAGATGAATTGTTGCACAATAGATAACAAAAATCATCAGATGAAAAGTCGATTGATCGTTTTTACTGAAATATTATAACGAAAAATCTCTCAATTACATATGTATGTGTATCGAAGATCCTTCACAGGCATAATCGTGCTTAAGATATTACTCAGTATTGAAAGAATCTATATGACATGTAAAATAAGTAACTTTCATGTGATTCACAGAATTGTGTGAGTTCGCTGAGACTTCGAATAGTTTCCAAAGTAGAGTTGAGGGTGTATTCTAATAATACCAATATACTCTTGTTTGTTTTGTCTTGTAAAGCAGAAATTGTCTATCCAATATATAAGTAAATGTCGCTGTGCACTAATTCACATACGCATGTGTTGTGGTTTCATTTCATTCGATCGATGAAAATCATTGAAGTAGACAGAACGATTTTGACGAGAGGAATTTCCGTTTATGGGCATAGGAGTTAAAAAACAAGGGAAGACTTAATCTTCGAAACTTGCCGTTCGGCAGACTCGAAGAAAAAATTGACAGATAGGATAGAAAAGTCTGTCAAGATTTTTCTCGAGCCCTCGAGAATGCTCCTTGTCTTAATGAAAGCTTTTCACACAAAGGTGCATCAGTACACTCGGATTAGGTAAAAGTAATCTCCATTGATAGACGGGGATTTTCCACCTCGAGTTGTATGTAAAGGTAGACCGAGTTTGTTTTACCATTTAGAAGTGGAGTGATGAAAAAAAAAGATTTGCTTTCTTAATAAATATTGTCTTCGATGGAGTCGAATCATGACATCTAGTTCACTTTGATGTCGGGAACTGCCTATTCTGATCGATCCAGTGCAAATGGTTGACTCGAATAAGATAGACACATGCGAGTTTTTATCAGAGTTTATTATTTGTCCAATTGTTTTGACATTAAAAGTTCTTTCAACATTAAAAAGTATTTTTTGGTTTTCCGAAGAAGAATTAGAATCATAATGTGCATGGCATGCATATGAATAATATAAACGCAATGAAACGAGAAAAAAAAGAAGAAGAAGAGAAGAAAACGAAGACATTCAAAGAGACTGCAAAAAACAACAATCACTCATAATTTGTTCAGTAGTTCTATACATATAGTGTGTTTGCTTTCGGTATTTTTAGTTTTTAAACATATCAGAAAGGAGCTTCGACATGGAAATACTTCCAATTGTACGTGCAAAATAGGTTTTCTCAATCAATATTGATGGAATACTTCGTAATAATGGTAATGTTAAAAGTAATCGACCGAAACTAAAGAAAAAAAAAGAAGTTCTATTATGACAAAACATGTGCAAATTTACCGAGTCGGTTGAGTTGGATTATGAATTTGTGTAAATTGGGCCAAAGTGATTTGTGCTTGATCTTGTAAATTCTCCACCATTTTTGATTCTCGTAAGGATCGAATATCTAAAAACGATACAAGATAGAAAAGTAAGCTTAGGCTTTTATTCTGTTTTTTTTTCTTACCGAACCGAAAAAGAACAATTGCTTTCAAACAAGCGAATTCGATTGGATCAAGTTTCAATTGTTTAAATCGATATAAGATGTCATTTAATAACCGATGAAGTGATTTTCCATTTTCGTTGTCTAGTTGATATCGACTAAGAGCAGTTGTGAACAAAGGTCCGCCGTTATCCAACGAAGTGGAACATTGAATAGCCCAAAGAAGAAACAATTCCGACCATGATTCTTCCAATAGAATCAACTGCAAAAGAGAAAGATTAGGAATCTATTGGACAGATGGAAGAATATTCATAATTATGTTTTCTTCTTGAAGATTAACAATACGATACTTCTAAATCTCTTCTACTTGACAATTTGTTTTTTCTCTCTTCTTTTCGTTTAGTTCTCACTCATCTGTTGATTGAATGCGAATTTATTTATTTCTTGATCCTTCTTTCATCATTTGATTATTTGAATAGAGAATGAGAAAGATGTATCAAGTTCATCAAAAGATGTTCATGTTTTCAAATGACATGATATTTCAGGATTA